TCTCTTCCATGTTTTACATTCTCTTTTGTGTCCGTGGTTCTTGGATACACTGTGCCTACTAACTGAGTTACCAGGATTGGGGTACTGGAGACTTGGATGAAAGTTAATGTCACCCTGTAGAAATTTCATGAGTTGTTTTTAGAAGTCTTGTCCCAGTGCTGTAACGGGGGACTGGAACTTGAGGGATTTCTGAAGGATTAAAGGAACTGAGGGCTCTGGTAAGCTCCCTCCAGGTTTCCACCCCTGTCTCTCACACGGCATAAGTGACCCTCAGGTGGGGGTCTTTGCAGTGGTGGCCGGAGGTAGAATTAATTATTTCTTTAGGCTCAGGGAGAAGTTTTCCTTCTCTAAGAACATTTTCTGTGTAACAGATGTTGTTTGAATGTGTGAAAAGTTTTAAATTGATGTAATAGCACAAGCGTGCATAGCTAAAAATACTCAGCTCTCACACGTTTTTGCCTTAGTTGAAGCTCTAGAAAAAGAGGCTGTGTACTAACAGATGTCTGCTTAGCCGAAAAACCTAAAGAAAATGGGAATTTAAGTGACTTGCAGAGTTCAGTATGGATCGATATAGTTGAAACCTGGGAGGCCTCCTCCCGGACCGGTCCTTGGGTCACAGTACAGCCCCAGTGCAGTGCGAGCACAGCTTGCTTGTCCCAGTGAGGAACACACCTTCCACATGAGAGAAGTCCAATTCGGTTAACTGACAACGAGCACCGTTCTGAGACCCTAACTGCCTTTTGAATTTGATCTTAATCCCTGGTGTCCCCAAAGCTGGAAGACATGGGGTAAACTTATTTTTAGATCGTGCATTACTTTTCAGACGGTGGTCTCAGTTAGCTTCCATCCACCAAACACCATTTTGTAACAGATATCTCTGAATTTAAGCAGTGTGGCCAGCTGTTAATCTGGAAAATGAATACACCCTTTTCCCTGTTCTGAATTTCTCATTTGGTTAGAAAACGTGAATTACTTTCTGTGTTAGTACACAGATGACAGGGAACGTAAGTTAACCTTGATGGCACGGTGTTGTAGGTGTGAGCACCGCTGTGCACGTGAATGTGATTTGGCCTCTGCACTGGTGCTGATGGCTCCGCAGTTTGGGTTTGGGGTTTTCTGTGTGTGTTTCTGCTTTTTATAGTTTGTGATTAGCTGTCAGGCTTGCAACTGTCACTTCTCGTTAACACCACTGTCCTGACTCCTGCTCCCCCTTCTCACTGTTCCTCTGTTTAGTTACTTCTCGTCTGGCCAGAGAATTGGGTAAAGAAGCCTGTTGGGTTTGTTTCCGAAGGGTGAATAGAAAGCCTGAGTCGGGACCAGCAGAGCAGAGCTCAGTACTAAAAACCCTCACTGGCTGCCTTTCCCCCTCCCTTCTTTGAGAGGTGCTTCTGTTCAGATACTAGTGATGAGGTACATGCCTTCTCAGTGCAGGACGCCGCTACCTGACGTCTCTGGCAGCTTAACATTTATACCAGAAGCTCTTTGAGGACAGGGTTTGCACCGCTCGGTTCTTTCAGATTGTCCAGGTTGTTGGCATGGTGTCAGTGCAGCAGCGGGTCCCCGACCGCCATCCTCGGGGCCCTCACCGTGTGTCCGCTCTCAGGAGGGTTGAATGTCTTCTTCTGCTTTAAAGGGTTACTTTTACAGTAATAAGAATATGGGCAATGTCTTGTATTTACCTACATATTTAGCGTCGCCGAGGCTCTTCATAATGGGAAGCCAGGTTTCCTTCAGCGTTTCTTGGAGTGCAGCTCTGCTGCTGCTGAAGTGTGTTTCTGTCTGTCTGAGTTCGTTTTCGTTCAGCCTTTATTCTGAAAAGATATTTTTGCTGGATACGGAATTCTCGGTGAATACTTCGCTTTCACCGTTTTCAGAATGTCATTCCGTTGTGTGCTGGCGCCCACGGCCTCTCTGTGTGGTGTGTCTGTGTCGCTCTCCCTCTGATTCCGCCACGGGTGCTCCTCCTTTCCTGCCTGGGAGATGCTTGCTGTCACCCCACAGGTCTCAAGACGCTATTCCTCTTCTTTTTTTCAGCCTTTTTTTTTTGTCTGTATGCTTTAATTTTGGTTAAATTTTACTGCTCTGTGTTTACATTCCCTGATTTTTTTTTCTTCCGCAGTGTCTAATCTGCTTTTAATTCCATTTCAATGAAATTTTCATTTCAGCTATGTTTTCTTAATTTCTAGACTTTTTATTGGTCCTTTTTTTAAAAAAAAATCTTCCTTTTTCTCTAATTCTGTCTACGTGTGCCTTTAGTACTGAACATAGGTATGGCAGTTTCAATGTTTTTACCTGCAAGTTCCATAATCTTGGTCATTCCTGAGTCGGCTGCTACTTTCTGATGTTTTTCTCTTTTTTCCCTCCTAATTAGGAGCCACATTCCCTGCTTCTCCTCTGTTGATGAAGTTTTGATTAGCTGTTGTGTACTGTGAATGTTACCTTATTGAACGTCTGCATTTTGTTATATTCCTTTAAAGAATGTTGTGCTTTGTTTGGCAATGCAGTTAAGTCACTTGCAGACTGATATCCTTGAGGCCTGTTTTTAGCTCTTATAGAGCAGGTTTGGTGTAGCTTTTGTTCCTGAAACAGTTCAGCCCTGCTGCTGAGGCCCACTCTCCGTGGGGTCTCCACTGACCGCTTCTGGGGAGCCCCTGAGGACACTTTAACTTTGGTGTTCAAACACCTTCCTACTTCATGTACACTTTGGGGGCTGTTCAGCTTACAGTCTCCTGGTCATTTTTTGCCTGCCCCTCCACCACCCCAACCCCCTAGTGGAATTTGACTCACACATGCATGACCTAGAACCTAGTCCATTGCTAGAACTCTCTTTTCTGGGTGGCTTCCTCTTTTCTAGAATTCTGCCCTGTAACTTCAGCCACCTCGGCCTCCCTGAACTCTGATCTTCATTTTCTCAACTTAGCAAGGCTGCCAGGTTCTATTTGGGTCCCCTTCCCTGTACTTGAAGGCTTCGAAATTGTCTCCAGGCAGGAAGTTGGGGTGATGGGATAGCTGTAGCTCACTGTTCCCCTTCTCTGAGGCATCACAGTTTGCACTACCTCCTTTACTGGCTAGAAGTAGTTGTTTTACACATTCTGTCTGGTTTCTAGTAAGAGGTTAGGTCTCTGCTAATCCATCACTGCTGCAAACAGGAATCCCAGGAATTCGGTGAAATTGGTCCATTGAAAAATAATCCTCAGTAACTGAATACAGTTTTCAATGGCAGGCCTGCTGGTGTTAGAACAACTAAACTAAACAGTTTCCATGAATTTGAGTGAAGCATAGGAGTGTCTTCATCTCCCCAACTCGTGGTTTTGCCTTTCTCACTGCCCAGAGCTGTCACCACTCTGAGCAGGGTAATGGTTACAGGGTCGCAGCGTGGTGGGTGATGACAGATGCTCTGAGCGCGCCCTCCGAAGCGAGGCTGGGATCCATCTCAGCGGGCGCCCAGTCCTTTACACTGAGCTAAATTCTACTCTTGGGAGGACCGTGTTGGTATTCCCTGCAGTTTAAGAATCACTTTTGAATCTGCGTGGGAAGTCTGTGCTCACAGACCACTGAATGTCTGAATCATTGGGACACTGATGTGTGGACTGAGGGAGCCAGCGTAGCTTGACGGGGGACCTGGGAAATGTAAAGGCAGGTTGAGGGAAGCTAATCTGCATAGTGGTATGTGTTTGTAAGTGTGTGCTTTCTCTCTTAAGTGGAGTAAAAGAAGCCAAGTACTTTGAAGTGGATTGTTGGTGAGTTGTAAGGAACTTTAGGGTCCTGAGTAGACGTGAGACTTGGCTGTTGATAGTTTAGCCAAGAAGCGACTGCATCAGGAAAAGCAGGTTGTTGTTTGTATCTGTTTTTTGGCCGACAGTTACTGAGACTTACTGGTAAAGATCTGACGCCCTTTTTCAGACATGAATATTGCCAGCTACGGATGCTAGTTTTCTTTTTTGTCTTTAATTACTCCTGAGTTCGTTCTTTAGCTCCTGAGTGACCCACACATGTGTTATAATCCCTGGTCCTCAGCAGTGTGCCCTGACAGCTTTGATTTTTGTGTCCTCAAAATGCTGTACTTAAATATGTTCATTTTTATAAGCCCAAAGATCTTTTTTCTTTTTAATTTCAAATGCAACTTGAAGAATGTTGATTGGATCTACTGCTGTTAAGAAAATTTAGAAGTTAATGAACGTATGAAAAAATGCTCGACCTCACTCAAAAGAGAAATGCAACATTGAGGGAGAAGGGTTTTTTTTTTCCTTTTTTGTCTGTCAAATTTTGGTTGAAGTTTAAAAATGATAATTATTTACTGTTGGCAAGGGTGTAGCCAGATGGGCACTTCTTTGAACTTTCAGGAAAAGTACATACGTACACGACCTTTCTGAAGGTAAGTTTGCAGTACACATAAAAAAACCTTTATGCTCTTGACCCAGTAATATTGCTTCTAGGAATTTTTTTCCTTAAAATCATTAAAAAGTCAAAAGTGCAAGTAGAAAGGTATTTGTTGCAATATTATTTCTAACAGTAAGGTGTTAGAATCACCCTAAATGTCTAACAGTGGAAGTGTTTTCCTTTGTGGCATTTTCCAATCACAAAGTACCATGTGACCATTAACATGGGTATTTATGTAAAGTGGACAGGTTTGAAATTAGCAGTATTTTAAAATGATACATAGTCTCATGTTAACTATTAGAAAATGCATGAAAGAATGGTCAGAAGTATGCCAAAATGTTAAGTTATCTGTGCCTAGGTGGTGGTTCAGTGAGTGCTTTCCTCTTTATGGTTTTCTGTTTTCCAAGGTTGGGTGGGAGAGCATGGTAGGTACGTGGAAGCAAAGATGTTTCTGGCTGCACTCTGAACCCACCTAAGGCTTTTCTAAACCCTGGACCGTCACCTGTGACTCCACAGGAGTAGGTCAGCCATTCATCTCCAAGCCTAGTTGCTGTTTTAAATTCAGATGAAGAAGTACTTAAAATTAAAATAAAAAAATGATTTCTGTGCTTACTCTTCAGATAAAAATTTTGATGATGAGGATTCTGTGGATGGTAATAGACCCTCCTCTGCCAGTTCTACGTCCTCCAAAGCCCCACCAAGCGCACGGAGAAGCGTTGGAATGGGGACCGCCCGCAGGGTCAGCTCATCCACTGTTGGGTCCAAATCTGCAGGTGAGACCAAGCCCACGGTGCGGCATGGGGTTGGCCCACAGACGTGCCCTGAGGACATGGGGTGGTTCTGTGTGTTTCCACCGGTGTTCTCTGCTGTCAGTGCTATAAGCTGTGGGCTGGGCCAGCACAGTTTGTCCAGGCAGAGCCTGCGGGGGGACAGATAGCTAAGGGGCAGGGGGAGAGCGCCCCCCTCCCTCCCAGCCGAAGGCATTTATTTGATTATTGGGTTCCAGCAATGCCCAAAGCTGCCGTGGGTCCTTTTACCAGTGTCTATGTATCATGATTGATTATCCAGATGTCAAGTTGCACCTTCCGCCCTTGAAATGTGTTGTTCCTACACAAGTGGCTTTGTTCTTGGGAGGCCAGTGTGGATGTTAAGTTAGTAAATGGTCAGGATTAGCTCCCTGGAGCTTTGAAAGTTTATTCACAAGGATTTCTGCCCTATATCCCTTTTCACCCAGCCCCCAATTTAGACAGTTTTGAGTCCTTGTTACACACAGCTTTCATTTTGCTGTCACGTTGTAAATTCACAGGCCAGTTTCCTGCTTTTTGCCTCTGAAAAAAACATCAAGTACCCCTGCTTTTAGAACCATGCTTACTGTTAGCACTGGGCTTTTGAGCTTGGCTGGAGGGCTGACTTCAAGCTGCGGTCAGGGTCGGTGTCAGGATGCTGTCTCCTGCGGCCTTTTCCTGCTCCCTGAATTGGCCCCAGAGCGTTGGTGTCCTGACACGGTCCCCGACGTCTCTGTGTGGCAGAGGGGCTTTCTGACGGCAGAGGGTGGAGCTGTGCTTGTTTCTTCCATTTTTGTGGTCATTCTTGTTCTTTCTAGGCTCGTGGTGGTGGTGTTCCTTTTTAAAAATTTATATTTTTGATGATGAGCTTAAATTCACACAACATAAAATTAACTGTTTTAAAGGTAACAACTTGGTGGCATTTAGCACATTCACAGTCTTGTGAAACCACCACCTTGATCTCTTTCCAAAACAGTCTCATCCCTCCAAAGAAAACTTTGTCCCTTTTATGCAGGTCCCCTCCGTTTCCTCCTCCCTCAGCCCTGGTCTGTGTTGGTCTGTGCAGGGAGCTGCCACAGACGTGGGGTCCTGCGGAATGTGGTCTTTTGTGCTTGGCATCGTGTTTGTGAGGTTCACCGATGTGGTAGCATGTGTCAGTACTTGTTTTTTGCATGATCAAGGCCGCCCTCCCCCATTCCCCTCCCCGGGACCCCAGCTCTGTAGATTACGTGGAGATACCTACCTGCTGCCCCTTGGCCCTGGTCTCATCTTTTTTGTCTTGCTTAGCACCACAGTCAAGGATTTCCTCGTTGCCCCTTCTGTTCAGGCTCCTGGGCTCAGCGATGGTGCTTGGTCTTTGGGTCCCTCAAAGCATTCTGCGTCTCACGGGGAGACAGGTGCTCAGGCCCACCTGCTCAGGGGACCCAGGCCAAGTGCTCTGTGTGCTCTGCTGCCCGTGTGCGGTTGGCTCGTGCGTGCAGCACAGTGCTCACCAAGGGGCTGATGCTTTACCACTGCCAGGAGCCGTCTTTAAAGGCCTTTTCTGTTGGAGTCATCCGTCAGGACCCCAGAAACCAGGTCCCTTGTCTGGCAGGAAGCTCTGGAAAAGCACTCAGCTAGGCAGTGTGGATCGTTGAGGGTCACAAGGTGACCGTGGAGGACAATTTTGAAACCTTTATTATGAAGCAAAAACATCTGATAAAATGTCACAGGATTTGCATGTGTGAAGTGAAGTTCATATTAGCATATTTTAGACTTTCTCCCAGGTGATAGCGATTAACTGTTAAGTTGAAGAGACTCTTAAAACAGCTTTACGGGGGAATCTCGCAACTAATGTGTAAAATGAAAACTGAAGGAAATGAAAGTTTAAGGAGATGAAAATGTTTTGAGTCTAATATAAAGTTGGAATGAAACTGTTAAAATACTTTTGATCTTTTTGATTGTTTCACAAGTTTGTTATGCTAGATTCCTAACAGTTACATATTTTCATTTATTACCAGAGGAATTAGAATTTTTGTTATACATTTATTAGGAATCTTTGAAACTATTTGTACATTAATATGACATAAACCATCTAACTCCTTTAAGTGTAGACTGGCCCTTCTTAAGCAAGTAGTCTCTTTAAATGACTTTAAACTAATTAAATGTTATATTGTAAAATTGCTGTCTCGATGCTGAAAGTCACTAATGTTTGTCAATTCCACAAAACTAAATTTTTATTAAGACTTAAAAAAAGTTACAAATCTTCCAAAATATAATTTTGATTGTGTATATTCAGACTCCTCTAGTGCCACTGTTTATATATAAAATATTAATCTTTTCATAGCTGCAAAAGAAGGGGCCGGAGCCGTTGATGAAGAGGACTTTATCAAAGCGTTTGATGACGTCCCTGTGGTGCAGGTGAGTGAGGCGGGTTAGTTTGGCTACAACAAGGATGCACTTACTCTGCAAATTTCACTTTTCAAATGCGTGATACGTGGAGTTTCTTACTAGGTAGGGTAATTTTGACTCAAGATTGCAGGAGACGGGAGGTTGCAGACTAGGAAACTTTGGAGCCTTTCAGAGCTGCAGTGAAGAGCAAAAGTCATGGCCCAAGATGACGTTTCAGCAAGAACTGGAGAGAAGTTGCTCTAGCAGTGAGCTTGGGGGTCAGGTCACATAAAGGGGGGAAATAAGTGATTAGATTAGAAGAGAGAACAGAGAAGCATACTTATTTAGGGATTTTCCTTAGAAAGACAAATTTGTAAATTAGAAGGATTTTGGTGTCTGAAGCTATAAAGAATGTTTTCATGAAATCTTAGTTTATGCAAACACTTGATGCTTCAGTTATGTACCTGACAGATGAGCAGAGATTATTTATGGAAGCTGGAGGACAGCTACACATTTACACTGCTTTGTGCCTCAGAGTCATCTGGTTGGTTCAGGCTCATATCCTGTCCTCGGCCGACACTGCACCCTGGTACTGGGGCCCTAAACCGCCTAGGTCTGCCCAGCCCCCGCCCTGCCACGTGCAACTGTGTAGTCAGGTCATGGACACCTTGGGCTCGTCCCGTCCTTGGTCCTTGGCCTTCCCCTCCCAGCCCCTCCAAACTGTCTGATGAGTAAGGCGTGAGGATAGGTGAGAAGGTGAACTTGAAAACATTTGAAGTCACAGGTGCAGGCAGACCACCTTTAATTGCACTTGGCCTTGCTGCGCTTTGCAGATGCTGCGATTTCACAGATGGAAGGTTTGTGGCAACCATGTGTCGAGCAAATCTTTTGGCACCACTTTTCCAATAGCATTTGCTCACCTCATGTCTCTGTGTCCCATTTTGGTAATTCTCATGATACTTCAAACACTCCATCAGCAGAATGATGACAATTGGCTGAAAACTCAGATGATGGTTAGCATTTTTTAGCAGTAAACTATTCTAAAATTAAGGTCTGCACATTGTTTTTTTAGACACAGTGCAGTAGCACACTTAATAGACTACAGTCTCGGAAACCAGACAAATGTGTGTGACTGCCGGGTCGGCTCCAGACAGCAATGTAGCCAGTGTCTCACAGGTGTGCCTGTGTAATGTCACAGAAATGCTGAGAGGAGAAAATGACTTGTGCATCACAGACGGTTCCCCAGTAGGCTTCATTCTCTTTTGTACGTGAAGCATCTGTTAAGTTTGTAGTAAAGCCGTTTTGAGGCAAGGTTCCCCATACTTGGACATCAGATCTAGTGAGTGGGTGCTTTCAATGGGAAAAAGCTCAATCTAAGACTAACCCATCTAGATGTTATCTCAAAGGTCCTTCTGAAAAATGAAATAATTTCCTCTACTGTACTTTCTAAATAATCTTGGCTTTATATAATAGGGAATAATCTGTTTATTCTGTACATTTTCTTACATTGATTGTAAATTAACGTTGCTTACAGATTTATTCCAGCCGAGACCTGGAGGAGTCCATAAACAAGATTAGGGAAATACTATCTGATGACAAGCATGACTGGGAGCAAAGAGTGAACGCTGTAAGCCGCTGACTTCGCGTGACCACGTTTCCATTAGATATTTAAATACTTTATTATGAAGTTAGGGTACAGCTTTAATGAATTTTACTTAGTAAATATTTTAAACATAATTACCGTATTTATTATTTATACTATCACATTTGTTACCATATTTATACTTCACCTTTTTAGTAGAATACCTCACTTCTGTTTTTAAAATGCCAAGTTAATTCCTGTTGTATCTACTTTTAACAAAGACCTACCAGTGGGACATCCAGTAGGAACCACCACTCACCTGAGTGCAGATTTAACTATGCGACTACTGGCCAGCAGTTGGCCTTTTACTGACGTTTGTGCCCTCTGTTCCTTTCTGTCCTCATGTCACCTCTGTCCCCTCTATTGTGGGTTAATGAAAACCAGTGGGGTGAGCACTGGAGAAAAGGGACATTAGAGTGAAGGGTGTGTCTTACCTGAGGTTGCACCTTATTTCACATCGTGCAGCTGGCAGGAAGAAGGAGAGGAATGGGTTCTGTTTGAGATCAGACCTCGTGATGGGGGCACCGTGAAAGAGATGGTAGGATGGACCGTCCCTCTGACTCATTAAATAAATGGCAGTGGGAGTGGGGGCAGGGGGAGGCTTAGGGGAGGAGCTTCTACAAGCTTTATCTTAGAATCACAGCATCTGTAAATATGTTAAAACATTTCCCATTAAAAACACATTTTGTGGAATTGTTACGTATTTATCATAGATACTAATTTTTAAAAATTTGTTCTTATTTGCAGTACATAGATTTGTTCAGTATATTAGCTAATATTTAGTTGCCTGAATTCTTTTTGGAAAACTGTTGCTGTGTCAATTTAACTTTCATCTCATATTTGCTGGCTCCTCTTTATGTATTCTGTTTTGAGAATTGTTCTCTCTCAATTTTCTCTGTCCCATTAGCTAAAAAAGATTAGATCTTTACTTTTGGCTGGTGCTGCTGACTATGATAACTTCTTTCAACATTTGCGTCTTCTCGACGGAGCCTTTAAGCTGTCTGCTAAGGACCTGCGCTCTCAGGTGGTGCGGGAGGCCTGCATCACGCTGGGGTAAGGACCACGGCATCCAGGCTCGCGGTGCTTCAGCACGGGCCCACGGGCTGTCGGGTCTCTGGTGTAACTGCCGATGCATCTTCGAGGCCCGTTCCTGTTACTGTTCTTTTGGGACTTAGCAGTACTTCCTGACCAGTTACGTTAAGTGTGACAGATTTTAAATTTTATTCAGTGGTTTAGCTCTGAAGCCTCTATCTTAAACTTGAAGCAGTTATTAAAAGGTGGAAACGTGAAATTTTACAAACTCCTGTTCTCAGCCTTTCATTGATTTTGCTGGCAGAGTATCGTGTGATTATTCGAATTTTTGTTTCTAGAAGAGTACTATAGCTGTAACGTTACTGCAGTAAAATTGTATCCTCAGCAAACCAGTATCAGTGTCTAGAATTCTGTGTCAGACACTCAAAGCAGCAGCAACGACAAGGGGGCTTTGCAGCTGCTTACAGTTTGGGCTTCAGTCAGATGTTGAAGCCTGACTGTTATGTGCTAAAAATGAAAGAGAAATGTCATGAGGGAGCTTTTTCATATTTGTGTTTTATTAGTGTGTGATTGATTTGTTTGCTTTTCACTATTTTAAGAGTAATTAGGAATTTGACACAACATTGTAAAATGACTGTAACGCAATAAAAAAAAGTTTAAAAAATAAAAATAAAAACATTATATAAAGAAAAAAAAGTAATTAGTTGGAAGTCATTTATTTAAAAGAAAAAAAAACAAACTCACGGGCTAGTGCTATTTGCCAATCCTCTCATGCACATTGGAAGCATTTTTAAAGTATCTTACTAGGACCTTTGTCCTTTATCCTTAGACAGCTTTACACAGAGGCTCTAAAACATTGAGACATTTATATGCTACACCGTTTATGAGAACTGTAACTACAGCCCAGCATCTGTTTCCTGCTGCAGGCATCTGTCATCAGTCCTGAGGAATAAATTTGATCATGGAGCAGAAGCCATTATGCCAACCATCTTTAATTTAATCCCAAACAGTGCCAAAGTCATGGCCACCTCTGGTGTTGTAGCTATTAGGTTAATCATTCGGGTAAGTATAGTTTGGGGCCGTACATAGAATAAGCAGGTAGTGAATATCGGTGGTCATTTTTCATTTGAGGGACTGCATATATGGAATCACATTGCACACACAGTATGGCCTTTTCCCTCACTTAATTACAAACAAAATATCTTCAGTTTTCAAAACACTTGTTTAAATTTAATTAGCCAAGTAATTTACACACACATTTTTCAGTAAAACCTGATAGTTCACAAAGGCTTGATGGAAGTCCCTCACCTCACCCTCTCCCCACTGTCAAGTCCCATTTCCCCGGAGCAGCCCTAGAAATTGGGGCTTGCTGATGCTACCTGCAGTCTGTCCAGAGTGTTCACAGTGACTGGGGCTTACTTTGTATTGTTTTTAGTTCTTAATGCTTCCCCTGCCTACTTCAGGCATGAAACTGAAAGCCACTATTGCACATTTCCCTGGAACAGTCTTCCGTTTGGCACTTAGGTCTCACCTGCTCAGATGGTTTAGACCTCATCCCAGCGATGTGTGTAGATTTTAGACTTGTTTAGACCTGTTGTCTGTTTTGGCTCTGTAAATTCTGTCATGACCTTCGGCAATATCCGTGAAATTCCAGTCTGAATATATAAGTGCTTTAGAGAGGTGAATACAGAAGTCGTTGTCTCAGTCTTGTCTAATTTTTGTGTTTTCAGGTGAGTGTTCACCTCTGTCCTTTGCTCTTTCCACAGCACACACACATCCCCAGGCTAATACCTGTCATAACGAGCAACTGCACCTCCAAGTCTGTTGCAGTTAGAAGGTAAATTTTTAAAGAGTTTCCTCATTATTTTTGAATTTTTAAAAAAACCAAAACAAATTTTAAATTTCCCTTCATGAAAAAAAGTTTGTTTGAAATGTTTAATCTTTATTTAAGATTGCTGTGATTAATGCCTTTGGATTGAAGGATTGTGATCTAAATTGTCTGGAAAGTAAATTTAGTCCAAAAAGTTGAAAGCAAAACCTAGTTTACAGGTGATATTTTTGATTAAATAAGTTGTTGTAAAGCACATTTAAGTCAAGAATTAGCTCCAAAGATGGTGGTGTTCACTGAGAAACAGATAAATACAGGCATGTGTGTTAGAGAGACAAGAAAAGCCCACATCAGGCAGTGGCCTGGGAGAGAGTGGACGTGGGGTGACCACTGCCTAGGTCGGGGCAGGGGGAGTGACGGTGGGGAGAGGGCATGGCCACGGTCAGTGTCTTCCTGAGAGTGCTTGCTTAGAGCCCCGGCCCCGTTACCAGCCTTGAGACTGGGTTGATGGTTTCTACTGGGCTCTCCGAGGGCGCTCGTGCTACCAGAACCTGGGAGCTGGTCTTGTCTGTCTTGCTCCCTGGAGTGTGTCTTGGTTACTGTTGTATCTCCAGCATCTCCTGACTGATTAATCGTGTGGATTCTGAGATTTTAAGTTGGGAATATCCCGGGAATGAGACTGGTCGTTAGAGGAAGATTGGCTTCAGATTTGTTCCGAATCTAGTAAGACCTAGTCCTGCGGAGACAGACATCCTAGAGTCCAGAAAAGGGAAATTATGAAGTGGTGGGGCCCAGATTGGTGATACAATCCAAAGGAGACGAGGCCAGAATTGTTTTGGGGTACAAATCAGACCAAGACAGATCCCAGAAGCGAAGAGGCTGGGAAAGAAAGGAGGTTGAAAGATTGAAGAGAGGAAAATGGCTGAGCCGCTAGAGAAGAATCTGTTGTAAACACTTGGTAGGAAAATTTGTTAAATACTTTGTTTTTCAGGGTTATTTATTTATTTATTTATTACCTTTTTTGTGCAAGACACTGTTTGAAATTAACACAAAGACTGATCCCTGGTTCTTTAGCGTGCATGGGTCTGTGTGTGTCCGTCTGTGGTCGTGTGTTACTTGAGTGAGCATAGTGGTAGATAGCCGTGGGGCAGACACCCTTTCGGTAACAGTGCGGTGAAGCTCAGGGTCCTGATCTCAAGGGAACTCCTGTACCCCGTCCCTGTATCTTGTGATTATTCTTTTTGGCCACCATAGATGCTTGGTTATTTTCATTTGCTTTGGTTTTCAGTCAATTTTGGTTCCATCTTTATGTTCCATTTTTTAAATTGTAAAAATTTAGAGGAAATTTACCAATTACAAAAAGTAGTGTTGGGTCACTTAAGAAAAAAGCTTTTATTTTCACTAACATACTAAATGACCAAGTTACATATATTATTTTCTTTTGCAATTTTCAGGCGCTGTTTTGAATTTTTAGATTTACTTTTACAAGAATGGCAGACACATTCACTGGAACGGTGAGCATCTGATTTGCTGGGTTTTCCTTCTGAGTGGATCTGGGATTTCATGTCTCAGTGGTGGGTCCAGCCCACTTTCTGTAAGAGTGAAGCAATCTAACATTTATTTGCGTGTCTGCTGCTAGTATTTCTCCTGATGTGAGGCACCTCCTCCTGGCAGAAGGGTCAGTGGTGATGGTGTCGTCAGCATGTCCGGGGTGTGGACGGGGAGCTGACCGGCACAGCCAGGCGTTGCTCTGTGCTGCTCTGGTCCTGCTGCCTGACGTACCGTCAGTCTTAACAAGGCGGATGTTTAACACTGCTCTCAGCGGGAAAGGGTAACTTACATCCTTGACAGAATTTCACTCATTTGAAAGTTTTCTTTTTGTTCCCTCCATGTCGGAAAGTCAGCAGTTTTCTCTTTATCCGGGTTGTTTTGTGGAGAGTGTCACATCATCGTGGTAAAATGTAGGATTGTGGCAGAATTCTTGAAGAAGCTTGTGTCTGCTCTGAGGTTCTTTCTCTGCCGTTTTTAGTTCCTGTCAGTGTTAGGTGCCTGTTCTTTCTGAGCTAAATCTGGAGACTAGATGGGGGTATTGTGCTACCCATTGTGTCGTGTGGGAGAAACTTGACGCCATAGTGGTAAGCGTGTTACCAGTAGTGGGGTTGTAATGGCCTAGGAGCCCAGGCCACGCTGCCCTGGTCAGAGAGGGAAAAGCCAGCCTCCCAGAGGTAGTTTCATCTGAAAATATTTTGACTCTAGAAGATTGTCACACATTCAAAAAGATTTTCCTCTTCTTTAATCTCCCAGGTCTTGTATCCCCTTTATTTGGTAATAATTTTGGAACTTACAGGTGTAAGTGGACTGTGGGGTTTAGTGCAGGGACAGTGATGGGACAGGGAAGCGTGAAGAGCTCAGACGTGGCCGCGGGTGTTTGTTCACTTCCCGGCTCAGCGCTGGCACCTTAGCAGGTCCTCCCTGAGTGCTTCCAGAGTGAATGCGGGAGTGAGGCAGGTAAGCTGGCCCTTTTCTCCAGACCGGTAAGTATCCCGTGAGACAGCTGGATGAGTCCCTCTCAACAACGGGAGAACATAACTGAAGGGAACGCCTCTGTAAAATAGTTACCTAACTTCATGGAAGTGTTGGTGACACACAGGAGCTTGGCAAGCATTCTTCAAGTACACAGATGCAGGAGCCGCCTCAGTGCTGGGGTTGTCATCACACTTCTGATTGCCATAGGAACTGGTGCTGACCTGGGAGACAGGCTGTTTTGCTTGAGCTCAGTTAGTATGTTTGAAAGAAACGTGGAGCCGTTGAATGAAACGTCGAATAAGAAATGTCAGCCGTTCCTAAAACGAGAGTGGGGTCATCTGGCCCCAAGCAGGGAAGGGCAGGCATGGGCCAGGGCGCCTGGAGTCAGAGGGTCTGTGGGCGGTTCTTGTTGCCCCGTTTGCTGACTCGCTGGTACAGGCTTCTGGGTCCCGCGTTGCCTTTAAGCTATTTCTCACACCTGTTTTCTTTCTTTCCCAAATATCTAGACATATTTCAGTGTTAGCCGAAACAATAAAGAAAGGAATACACGATGCCGATTCTGAAGCCAGGATGGAGGCCAGAAAGTAAGTGTTTGCTGACAGCACCGGCTCGGGTCACTGCTGTCGCGTCCCAGGTGCGTGGTCCGGATTGCCTTGTCGAAGCTCACTGAGTGACGCGAACATGTTTTGTTAATCATGGCTTTAAATATGACTCAAAAGGCCATTTCAGAATATTCCCTAGTTTTTTGTTCTGAGAGTTGTTCAGTGCCCAGGCCTGAAAGACTGGTTGATACTGTTTGAATATAAATGGGACTGAGATCGACAACAGAACGTTCTTCTTTAAATTTGTGGGAAATAATCACGCGAATCAGGAAAGTGCTAGTAGGCGTGCTCTGTTTTTTCTCTTACTCACTGAGCTCTATTCTTCCAGAGTGACCTGTTGAGTTACTATGAAAGTCACCGTCACGGGTTCTCCCTGTGCTCACATCCATGGGCACCACAGGGTTCCTGGGACGTGTGACTCCCCGTGAGGGAGGCTGGGGTCAGCCCAGAGCATTTGGGCTCACTTTGCCATCAGGACCGGTGGTGCTCCAATAGAGGAGCTGTGGCCCCCACGGCCACCGCCATCCTGGGGGTGATTTTGCCGTGGTAATTGTAAATGGCAGAGGTTTGATGCTGAGACTTTCTCTGTCCCTCAGGCAGCATTTAGGTAAATACGCTGAGTTTTGCCCCATGGCTAGTTCTTCTATGCTTCTGTAGTTGACCAGCTCTTCCCACCGACACAGGTTCCAGTCAGTCCTTACCCCTGGGCCACGCCCGCTGCTCTGGTTGTGCCTCTGCTAACTCAGCCCCTGGGCTCGGAGTTTTGGCGGACCCTCTCTCAGCACTGAGTCTCTTCATAGTGGATCCTACCAAATGGGCAGCATAGTTAGTGGTTGTGACAAACATCGGGGACGGATTTGCTAATAAGCTTCCTCACCTCACACCTTGTCCGCTCCTCAATTGTTTCCGGTTGTTCACTCATAACGCAGTGCAGATTTCAAGTAGCTGTGAACATTCTTCTGTTTTCTATTGTGTGTGTTACCCAAAGCAGTTTTCCGCATTTCAGATCAGTGAGTGTCCGGCCGTGTAAACACTACTGTGACTGACCCCTTGGGTTCTCAGTGTAGTTCTAGAGGTTGTAGCTCCATCTTCCCCAAGATGTGTTCGCACTCCAGCCAGAAGGCTCTTCAGTTTCCACCTGACTGAGGAGGAGGCTGAGATGCAGAGCTGAACGACCCCCAGGGTCAGAGCGCTGGTCAGCCATGAGGATAGGACTCCTGCCAGCCCGGACGACCCTGCGAGTCGTGTGTGGTGTCACACGGTGTCAGGGCTGCGGGAGGGCTGTGTGGCCCGCTGGCTGTGACAGGAGGTGGCGTGTCTCCCTAGGTGTTACTGGGGTTTCCACAGTCACTTCAGTCGGGAAGCGGAGCACCTCTATCACAGCTTGGAGTCCTCTTACCAGAAGGCCCTGCAGTCCCACCTGAAGAACTCGGACAGCATCGTGTCTCTGCCGCAGTCCGACCTCTCGTCTTCTAGCTCGCAAGAGAGTCTCAAGTAAGGAGGCCGTGCTCTTTGCTGGTGTGAGGCTTAGGGTCTGGGACTTGGCTGCATGAGAACACGGGCTCTCCCCGTGTCCTCAGAGCATGTGCCACTGTCGGTCCCCTCAGTTCAGAGGCCCTCGGGGAGCGGGAAGAAGGCAGCAGCCTTGATCTCTGCCGCAGGTAGTTCGCAGTCCTGTTTGTGTGGCATTCCTGGGGCACAGGGTGGAGTAATGTCAGTGGATTACTCTCAGCATCTTCCAAGAACGTCAGAGTTGAGTCAGGGTGAGCAGGAGAGGGAGGGCCGTCACACCTGGGCACCACGTGACCGTCTGACTCTCACTTCTGTCCACGTTTGAGATTCCTGTCTGCGCGCTCAGGAGACAGTCCACAGGGGAATGCTGAGGCTTTCCTGACCTTGGGATCCAGATGCCTGTGGGAGTCCACAGTCTCTGCAGTAACTTCATTATCGCAGTTTTCTTGTCTTGTATGGTGCTCATGTTAATGCAGGTAAAATGCACAGCTGATAATACGCACATGTGAACCTTTATTTTCAGTCGGCCGCTCTCTGCCAAAAGAAGTCCCACTGGAAGTGCCACCTCCAGAGGTGAGACTGCAGGGGCTGTGTGTGTGTGTGTGTGTGTGTGTGTGTGTGGAACCTGGGGCATGTGTGTTTGTTTACTCCGGGCCGTGTGTACATCCAGACCTGAGCTGGGCTGCATGGCTCATGCCGCTGGGTTGCTGGCAGTTGGCCACATGCTCTCTGGCCCCTCCCAGGCCTGCAGAGTGTCTGCTCTGCCCTGCACTCCCACCAACCCCAGCAGACGAAGTTTCCCTCCCTCCCCACTCCAGCTCGTGGGTTCACGGCACAGACAGTGAGGCCCTGGGCCCGGAGCTCTTGGTGGGAGTGAGGACGAGTGAGGACAGGTGCCTGTTGGCGGTGGGAGAGGGGAATGGCTCCTGAAGGGGAGGCATCTGGGGAGGGGGACACCTTTGTGCCACATGGTGAGGAAACTGGCCAGATGTGAGCAGTTTGTCACTGCCACTTCTTGTAGGGGCCACAGGGTGGTTCATTTCTTGGGGTTTACGGGCTTCGATTACAAAGGTGCGTGCAGTCATGGTCACTTGTGATCCCTTCACTGTGGCTGAAGTGTCTTCAATGCCCAGTGCTCTAGCCTTTGTTAAAACTTGGTGTTTGTTTTTAAGAAAAGCAGAACACGTCTCAGCAATGTACAGTTAACACTCTGTTGTGGTCCTTAACTAACATGTCCTTCCTCACCACAAAAGGTTCTACGGTCAGCACCAAATCTGCATCAACGACTGGGTCCCTCCAGCGGTCCCGAAGTGACATTGATGTGAACGCAGCAGCCAGCGCCAAGTCCAAAGTCTCCTCGAGTCCCGGCTCTGCACCTTTCAGCTCTGCCGCAGCCTTGCCTCCAGGGTCCTACGCATCCTTAGGTAACCAACGCCCCTGGTCCTTTCCCCCAGTGCTGCTGTGCAAGATGACGCTTAGCCTTCTCTCAGACTTGTTCATCTGGCAGGTGTCAAAGCTGTCATTGGGGAGGTTCCCCTGTTGCAGGCGGATAGCTCAGTGTAAGTAACTGTGCTGACTGGTTGCAGCCGCCTGAGTCCAGAGATCGCCCTGTCTAGTGACAAGTCTGCCCTGAGCACGGCCCCTCAGCCCCTCCCGCGTCGACAGAGCTGGGCTCCCCCTCCTGACGCAGTGGCAGCAGAGCCACAGGGCTTAGTGAGAGACGTGGGGATGGTGGGGATGGTGATCGTAGTCCTCAGTTTGTGGGTGTGGCCTGGTGCGGAGGCAGGGCAGCTCAAGAGAGGAGTGTGGGATCCGGTCACCAGCCTTACCTTGAACAGAGGAGTGTGGTCTCCACGCAACTCCTGGGAGGAGCAGGGCCTGCTCTGATGATAGCCCGGAAGACTAATGGAACTATTTTCAAAGAATCGGTACCCCACAGAGTGGCAGGTCCGTGTGTCCATTTTTCAGCAGACACTTAACAGCTACTGTTACTGAGGCTAATAGTTTAGTTCATGTTATTTTTGTTAGGGCAAAGTTAATCGAAGCTTAAGTCTGGAGACTTTGCTGGATTAGTTTTATTTTGGATTTTAATGAAATGAATACAGGTTAAACTTGATGAAACATTGAGACTGAGTAACTTGCGTGGTTTAGAAACTAATTGCAGTCAGTTATAAAAGTAATATTCTGGAAGTGTTTTGAGCACAGAAGCATACTGAGAGAACACCGAAGGTCACAGGCCTGATGGTTAGTACTTGGTGACCTTGACTAAACCGTGTTATCTCTGAATTTGTTTTCTCTACCCATGAATTAATGGTAATAATAACCACCTAATTCAGATATGTGGTAGGGATAAGTGAAATTATGTGCAAGTCCTTTGTAAGCTGTTATCCTCTGGGAGGGAAGAAACTGGTTGATAGAAACATGATCGATTTAAAAGGTGTGGAGTGCGTGTTCTGCAACATTGTTAACTCAGCCTTGTTCTCCCAGTGGGAATAGCTCACAGTAGACACATTTAGGTGGGGAAGATGCCTACTGAGAGCCCCTGTCCTGTCGTGTAGCGGCCGTCTCGTGACGTAGGTGTCTGTGGTCCCGTGTGCGTACTGTCGCTGAGTGGCAAACAGATCAGGACCCTGCTGTGTGCAGCGCTCCTGCTGACTATCAATCGGGTTCTGCTCCTCAGCTGTTTCAGCGCCTGTGATCCACCTGGAGTGTTTGTAATTAGGATTTATGTCATTGCTTGAAAACTTGAGTAAAAGCCAGCTCTAGAAAGACTTTTATTTCTCTGTGCACATTTGACGACTCCATTGTGGACCATATGGCTCCCCTAGTGCTAGTGAGCACTCAGACCTTTGGTTGGCTGGTACAGGACCGACCTTCGAGATGCGCTGATGGTACCTCTCAGCCCGGTGTCACCTCTTCTAAGGACATGACTGGAGTATTCTGATTCTTAGAATTTCCTGATGTCCAAAACAATAACAGCCCAAAAAATCAGCCCTGAAGTATACGTAATTCCTGAAGAAGCCGTTAGGATTACTCCGTCTGTGCAGAAGTGTAGCATTACAGCTGATGACCCTTTTCCAAACCTCTAGAGTCCAGAGCCATGAGGGGAGATGCGGAGTCCGCGGGCCCTGACTCAGGTACCGAGCTATGCGGCTTGGCTGCTCGGTGTGTAGCCCGCTTCTCAGAGCTTCCTGCCGCCTCTGTCCTCTGGGTGACTCTTCAGTGTGTTAGTTTTCACCCCTATTCTGCTGATACTTTGTTCCAAGAAAAAAAGGACCTCTTTAGAGGATGGGGCTCAGCTAGGTCAGAAGCACAGTCCCTGTGTTGGCCGGGGTGCAGCCCTGGGCGGCCCTTCAGGCCTGGGCTCTGAAGCACGTTCTGCTGAGCTGGTCTCAGTGTAAGGTGATGGACTCGCTGACTTGCTGCAGACTCTGCTTTGCTATTGAACTTGTTTCCTTTTTAATTTTATTTTAAATTGTACTTTTGCTTTTTTAGTAGCTAATAATAACACTCTGCTTTTTAATTTTTTAATGTTACTAACTGTTCCCTGTTATCCCTTCCCTTGTTTTTTAATTTGCTTAAAGATGGTACTACCACTAAGGCGGAGGGTAAGCGGTTTGTTTCTGTGATCGAGGTGTGTCTCTCACCGTCCTCTGTTCTCACGCCTGTTGTCCTCCTGGGCGGGGTCCCTGCATGACACACTGCACGCTGCCCCTCCGCTCTCCATTCCGTCTCCACTGGACTCTGGCCTCTGCACACCCACGTCCCCTCTCCTTTCTCATTTAGTTGTTCTTGTGAGTCTAGCACCAGTTTGCCGTCCGTGGTTTTTACCCAGAGCCTTCGCCAGGGAGGAGTGTGGATGGTCGTTGGGGTGGTGGTCGTGTCCCGCCTGACGCACAACCTTAGCTTCTGTTTCCTCCCCTTGACTTTGTACTTTTGTGGGCCTCCCAGAATTTGCCTTTCCTGTTTTGAAAATAAATTTCAGTGTCAACTGCTCAGGTTAAGGGCTTTTAGAGGTTTTCTACCAAATAATTTCTAGACATTAAGAAAATACTTTACTTTCCCCCAAAGCTTCTGAATTACACAATACATTTTTATTTGTATCACTGACACATCCCCATTCATTCATTTACTCTCAGCCGTCCACTCATCATTTGAGTTTTAGGCATGGCTGTTTCTGTCTATACAGGTCTCTGATTAGCATGTGCCAGACAAGATCATCTTTGCAAAGTCTCTGGATAGTGAGTGTGGTAACATCTCAGATAACTGAAATTTACAGTTAGACCTCTTCCACTTAAGGTGATGGCTTAGGCTCAGCAGCCCTCAGGGTAATGATTTCTCTGTTACATTATTATTTTTTTTTTTTAAGAGCAAAGATGGGACGAGGGGACTCAAGATTTCATGGACCCAGAGTCCCGAAAGCCTGGTCAACATCATATTTATTAGGAGTATATAGCTTAGAAAACTCCATTATATTATTTAGCAGAGGAGACTGGGTCTTATCTTGATGTGTGCAGGTCATGTGATTTTACTTCCTAAGGGGCTCACTCATACAGGAAAAATAAGGAGCAGAATTTTTTTTAAAGATGAGCATAGTCTCAAGATGGGTGTTCTTCAAACTTACTCACCATAAAAATTACTTGGATGTTTGCTAAAAGAACAGAGTCCTGGGTCCTTCCCCCTGAAAGTTCTGATTAAGTTTGGAAGGAGCCAGGGAATAGGAATTTTCAGGAAGCCTCACTGGTGATTCTTGGGATTGGGTAAATTTTCTAAGTGACAGTTTCCAAAATGAAAAGTGAACAGGAGACCTATGTCATGTCACTTTGCTTGTGAGAGAAGACTGAGGCTGGGCGTAAGTAAATAATTTCTCCATCTCAAAGAAGTGACCCTAAATATTTCCTCAGCCTAGATGGATGGGAAGTGGAGGGCGGAATTCAACAATGTAGTGAAGTGAAAAGTGAGGGTGTTACAGGGGAAATTATGTATTTTTTCCAGAACTCCCTGGTTAATCTCCTATACTTGTACAACAGACCGAAAGTCAGTTGCTATCCCGCCCAGCAGGGCAGGTTTTAAACTTTTTCCCTATCAGGTTTTTTTTTTTTAATTGAAGTACAGTCAGTTACAATTCATCAGTTTCTAGTGTACAGCACAATGTCCCAATCTTGCATATACATACATATAAGTTTTCTTCTTATCAGACCAGAGCAAGGTGTGCAGTTTGCTTCCTCAATCTTGTGCAGGAGGCTGAGAACAGTAAGTGTCCTGGCCCTGGTGTAGGAAGGTAGGGGAGAAGGTGGGCCCTTAATTGTATGGAATCAGGATCAGCAGAAACAGCACCGTGTCGAGGCGCGCAGCGAGCCTTGGCCCCTTCCCAGGGCTGCACAGGCTGTTGCAGAGTCTGCCGGTCGTAGCCTTGGGCCTTGTGTGGTCATGAGACGGAAATATGGGCGGCCATGGAAGGCCTGTGGCTTGGCGCCCTGCTCAGCCGTCACTTCTGTTTGCTGCATGACCCTTAGCAGTGATGCTCAGGAAAACCCTGCATGCTCATTAGAAACAGGCAGCAGTAAGTACCACTTAGCATCTCATCATGAGTTTCCTGTTTGAATTTTTGGAATCATCAGGAGCCTTTTAAAAATTTGTTACTAATTCTGTTAAATATTTCACTCTCCAGCTCCTGAGATGAGAGCTAGGTACTTTCATCATTAGGCGGCAAAAACATGGTTTTGAGTCAGTAGTTGGATGCTCCTAAATTCAAAAATCGGACAATTTATTTGAATTCTGGCAACTCCCTTATTACAGTAATTAAGAAAAATAAATATTCTTTGGGAGTTTCTTACCACACACATCAAGTAGCCCTTCTAACCCTGATGGCTAATCAGAAAAAAATTGTTGGTAAAGAACTAAAAGGTTGGCTTTTGGACAAAAGGTTTTTTCCAGGTTACCTTTCAGTGTGTTACGGTCAGTAATTTTGGGGATTTGGAGAAGGAGCATTTATATTGTCTATTACACCTCTCATGAGAGAGTTGATGGTTGCGGTTGACCCTTGAACAACATGGGTTTGAACTGCGGGCCCACGTGTACGTGGAGTTTTTCAGTAAATGTGCAGTATTGCGCAATCTGCGGTTGGTTGGTCCGCGCATACTGAGGGCAGCTGAGGGACTTGAGCATCTGTGGATTTGGTGTCCCTGGCAGGCCCTGGAACCAGTCCCCTTGGACACTGAGGGGCAACCATGGACATCGAAGTTCTAGGGAAAATTAATGCATTCTTACCTCATCTAAATCATTTTAAAGTGGCTATGAGTTGCTTGCATCCACAGGGCACGAGCAGAAGCAAACATAGATCCTCATTGGAAGAACTCAACTTCAGTCTGGACCTTAAAGAATTCCCACAAAAGCCCCAAGAAAAAAACCACTTCATTGTCTTAATATATATTTAAAGAAATAAGAAATTTTGGAAAGGCAAGGGAGTAAGAAACTATAAAGAATGACCAAGCAGGTTTTGAAAGAACAAATGGATCTTGTAGAAATTAAAATACAGTAAGTTATTAACACTGAGAGCTCAGCAGGTGGATTGAAGAGCAGACTCAGTGTAGCTGAAGAATCAGCTCATGACTAAGATGGGAGAGCTGTGCAGAAGGGCAGGGCTGGAAACTGTGGAGACGTTACTCCCCACAGAAGATGGTGAGGATGTTTAACCTGATTGGATTTTGAGAAGAGAAAGCCTGGTGGGGACGGCATGTGACAAGGTTAGGGTTGAGTATTTTCCGCTGTTGTTGAAGGAGGCCGCCAGAGGGGAGAGGCCACCCACAAAAGAAAGCCCAGTGTAAATGCAGATACAAGTGGGGAGTCGGAATCAGATTGGTGGAGCTTACTGACGTCCGTGTCCTGTTCTGATTCGCACAATAGTTGTGTAAGATGTTACCGCTGAGTTAAACTGGGTGAAGAGCACACACTGGCTCTCTGTGTTACGTCTTACAGTCGAATCTGAGTCTACAGTGATCTCAGGGTAAAGAAGTTTATTGTAAGAAAGGGATCTTTAAAATACCCCCTCTCCTCAAAAGTATGATTTAAGTAGAAGTTGTGGTTTTAATATTTTAATCTGTGCGACTGTTACCTTAAAGAGAGTAAAGCATCTCTCTGAAACAGCTAGGGCAAAAGGAGGAAAGAAAGGGTAAAAGGAATCTGAGAAATAAAGACAAAAAGCATTACATATAACTGATAAGCACAGACTCAAATGAACAAAACTTTCCAATTAAAATAGATTGTTAGCCTTAATTTTTTAAAACAGATCTAGCTATGTGATATTTAAAACGACAAATCTTTACATAAGGCTACAAATGAGTAAAAGACAAAGGATGTGAAATACACAGTAAAAGAAAATTGTTGAAGGTTTAACAGGCTAAAAAAGGCAGAAAGCTTCACTAGAGATAAAGAGGATTTTTGTATAATAAGAACAAATTAAATAAATCACTAAGATGTAATAGTCTTAAATTGTTATGGCCCTAATAATAGTTGCCCACATGTTAAAGAGTATTTGCTGAATCATCTTTATAATGGGCAGTATTTGAAAACAAAATTTTTTTGAGGCAGGGTAATTAGGTTTACTTATTTATTTACTTTTAGAGGAGGCGCTGGGGATTGAACCCAGGACCTCATGTATGCTAAGCACACACTCTACCACTGAGCTGTATCCTGCTTCCTCTGAAAACAGAAATTTTGGAGAAGTAACATGTTCATACAGTTCAAATGCAGGAAGCATTAAGAAATAGCCAGTTCCCTCCCATCTTGTCTCTCACTTGCCTGCCTGTCCCCTCTGCCCTCAACCCCAGCATGTTACTGCTCTCAGTTTCATTTTATCCAGAGTTTCTCTGCATATAGAAGCAATGTAAAAATCATACTTATCCCTTTATTTTTCATGTAAAAGGTAGTGTTTTTACACACTATTCTGCATCTTATTTTCACTTATGTATCTTAAGATTCTTCTGTGTTAGGGTAGTGAAACTCTTCATTCACTAAATTACTGCTGTTAATCCGTATATTATATATATTACATACGTCCCACTGTATAGACTAACCTGACCATCCAGTCCCATATTGATAGACATTTGGATTGTTTCCAGAGCCATGAATAACCTTTTATAAAATCTGATTTTGCATGGATACAAGAATATTGGGAGGACAAATTAGCCAGAGTGGAATTGTTGAATTAAAAAGTGCATTCATCTGTAATTGGGGTAGATTTTGCCAAATAGCCTTCTGTAAGGGCTGTATTAGTTTTCACTCCCACCAGCAGTGAATTAGAGTGCCTGTTCCTACATGCCAAAATGTTAGCAAATTTTAGAATTTTTACCAGTCTCATAGGTGACAGATTCTTAATGTCATTTTAACATTCTTTCTTATTGTGAGTCTGAACATTCTTTCCTACATTTAAGAGCCATTTCTACTTCTGTTAACTGTTCCTAGCCTTCCACCATTCTGTATTGAGTTGTGGCAGTGGTGAGTTGGAGCTGGCTTGAACCAGTTTATAAAGAGCCAGTTATTAAATTGTGAGGAATTTTATAAACTGGTTGACATCACACCAGTAGTATCAGATTGGCCAAGGTGGGGAGGTTTACACCAATGAAACTGTGAAACACCACAAGTCAGCAGGACACACACACCCCGCCCA